ATAGTATAGTATAGTATATATATATATATATATATATACGTACTACTAATATATATATATATATATATATATATATATATGTGGACACTTTTCCATTGAAATTCACTCATGTTTCTTTGGCATTTTTTTAATGCTGAATAATATAAAAAATTAAAAGTAATTAAATCTATACGAAGAATATTTCAACAATTTTACCCATCACAATTAAAAGAGAATCAAATTCATCGATTGCATTTTCTCCGACTATGATGTAAAATTTGCAAATGATATAAATTTCACAGGATGTACATATGTATTGTGTATATACTTGTATACATATTAAAATATAGGACGCTTCCTTTGAAGTAGTCTCTAATACGAGATCGTTTATTTGCAATTCGATTTTCGTTACATCGAACGCTGGTCGTGCATGATTCACAAAAATTATCATCGTACAAAGTTTAACAATTCAATCGTACAATCTTTTCATTTACATCTAATCGGTATTTGTGAAAAATTTTATTACATGCAATCGCGTGCCTATGATATTGCGTTTCAGCTTCCATGCAAATGATCGTAGGAAGAAATCGTACGTTCGCTCAATTTCCAGTTCAACTAAATTTGAAGAACTAAATTTGAAGCTAATAAGTGAAATTCCAAATACCATTCTCTGCCTGCGGGAAAATAAATTTATCATAAATCATATGATAAATTGATAATTTAGAAAATTGCAGCAATTTGCAAGAGCTTCCTATGTAAATTGAATTGCATTACAATTGAATTGCATTACAATAAAATTTTTAGATTTTCGAAATTACAGTTCGATATCTCATGTCAAAATATTTTTAAATATTTGTATAATTATGTACAAATGCAAAAGTGAATTAAAATTAAAATGTAAAATAATTTGATGCAAAAAATATTACGCAGAAATCCTATTATCCTATTATAATTATATTGAAAGAAAAAACATGAAAAAATGCTCATACCAATGCTCGTTCAATTTATTATCTTTATAATTATATTTGGTGATCTTAGTTTTATAAAAAGAGGATAAGAAGGGAAGGCGTGTGCCACGACGAGGCTCGACCACGAACCAGTCGTAAAAATCCGAAATTATTTTGCGAAAAATATCCTCAGTCAGGAATCGATTTCCTGGATCTCCTGTTTACCGGGCAGGCATCTTATTCTTTCGACTACAGAGGAATATGATGATATTTATCGCAAATAACGTGTTTAGAATAACGCGTCACAATTCAATGATACACATATATACATACACTACATATACATATATACATGTATACTCTCGATCCTCACAACCGGTACTCCAGAGAGATGATGGTCCTATTCTCTCGATGGATGCAGGTCGGACCGCGGCGGCAATATTCTCCAACACCACTCTCATCCCTGAGAAACGTCTTTATGTTAAGCTTAAAAAGCTCGAGAGGATAATTATATCCGAATAGTAAATTATCTCGCAGAGAGATCTCAGATTTTTTATAAAACTAAGCTCGAAATCCAGTACGAGCAGTAGTCCTATTAACATACATACTTATGATTGAAAATATATACGCTAATATTTCATGATGTGAATATCCTTCGCCAATTATCTTCTTTTCCCTTGTTACTATTTAAATGAAGATTCATTGGAAATCCAAATTGGAAATATACATCCGAATGAATTATAAAAGTATATATTAATAATATTAAATTAAAATCTAGATTTTGAACAATTTAAAATATTTTTATCTGATTAATTTTTATGTAATATCATTTATTGTGGATTCGTCGATTTGTTGCATCTCTTGGCACTATGTAACTTGGCGCTGTGTAATCCATGTATGTGCGGTTGCAATAAACAGTCTAAAAATAAGCAGACAGCAACAAGAACAAGGATCGTAGCATGCACGGCGCCAAATATTCTATTTATAATATAATAAAATCAATATTTTCGAGATATCGCGATTTTATCGAGTTAAATCGAATGCACCTTCGTTTAACTGTCTATTTTATTATTATCTTATTATTTCTTCCGAGTATTCCGTTAAATGCGTCGTGTACGGCAATTTAAGAATCTAACAAATCTAACAGATTCTTATTTATATATAAGTAATACAGATAATTATTTCTTAATATATTTTCTGAATATCTAACAAAAAAAATACATTAAAAAAATAGGAAAAGGGTATTTTCAATAGGTCGAATATTCTTCCATATATTTTCTCTTTCTTCCCTCTAACCATTTATGAATAATTATTTACAATTAACTTAGATCATAATCTGTGAAAAGTTTGCAATTGAGAAATCCCATACAATTCGTTAGGAAATTTCTCGAATGTGTCGCAAAGAATTACCAGGTACTTTTGTATCACACACTGGCCAGAAATAAAATTTATATATATCATCTAATATTTTATATACATTTGAAATCGCGATAAACTGCGACATCATCGAGAAATGCCCTATTGTCATGCAAAAATTATCTTTTTGATCATAAATCGCATTGGCTTACGTAAGAGAGCAAATTTACTATTTATATAAATTTATTATATAGATGCAATAAAATGTACACTCGTAACTCTTCTGACAACTATTTAAAATAATTCTCTATTTAGTAGGCTTACTTTACGCTGAACAAAATATAAATACCACGATAAAGCATAGGATTGTTAGAATTAGCAAATAAAACTAATTGAGCGCATGAAAGCTCTGTCATAAGATTGGCAAAGGAACTTTCTACCTCTTATACATTGTGAAGTCATTTTAACATTGTCATACACGGCGTATCGCTTTTTTAACAAATGAACATCCGTAAATTGATAATACGAGATAAACGCACTCGTTCACTTATAAAAATATCAGCAAAAATACAACATCCTCAATAATTTATTTATAATATCGTCAATTATTTACTATTTACATTTAGCTAAATTTTACACGCACGCACGCACGCACGCACACTTATTTATACGTATAATTTTGTATTATTCTGATACATCTGACGTACATTGTATAAACCACATATATGTCATTCTTGCATCTCACGTGCATAATTATCCGTATTCGTAAATAGAGTCCACGAGTCTTCGTTTTTTTATCAATTGATTTATTACTATAAAAGCGCTTCTCATAAATCACTATAATGTTGATATTCACATACTTGCTCATATCGCGGGAGAAAGTTACTTGAATATATTTAACATTGTACAGAGAATTAATTTCCGTACATAATTACATCGTTAGATGGCACCATAGGGTTTAACTTTACGCTTAAGTGGTCGTTTAATGTATCAATTATTTGAAAATTGTTTTTAGAGATAATCTTAATAATCTTAAAATTAGCTCGGAGAATAGTATATCAAATGTAATATCAAAACTAACAATGTGTTCACAAGAGTCTTCCTGAACGAATCCTGTTTTAAAGAGCTTCGGTATATAAAGTTCCTGCACAATTGTATCTTTCATCTTGATTCAATAAATAACTTACGAAACTCCATTCTATTTTACCTAATATTTCACTAAATTAAAACTATATTTTTCTATCGCTGGAGTAGACCGTCACACGCATTCTCTTTATTCTAATTCTTACATTATATATAAATCTTTTGCTTCTTTCTCATCTCAATCTTTTATTAAGTCAAACAGAAGCAACAATCAGAATCAATTCTCAAATTCTCTTCTGTTTCCAGAATCCTGCGCGATCAATGTCAATCCTGTCGCTATTCGATTTCGCAAACTGGAAAATCCTGTTGAACGGTATCATGTCATTCCATCTTGAAATGCCTTCCTTTTATTAGATATTTTTTTAATAGACCATTCTTCCATCTCCGTTTAATACTCCGCGTCAGTCAATTTCATTATTCTTCTCTTACAAGTATATTCTTCAGCATCTGACATTTAGAAACATCTCTTCATCCTGACTTCATTTCAGTTCTATCCTGACGCTGTGTCTCAACTTCCTGCTGATCTCTTCTTCTTTCTTCTCTTACACATGTGCGCGTATCTTTTTCTTTTACTAGTCATGTAACGAATCGATATTCGGTCTAGATAATGAGCGGTCATCAATCGTTATTCATATCCTTTAACTCAGTGTACGCAATCCGCTTCCGATACAGATTGCTACCGCTCGATAACACATTTCTCTGATTCGGCATTGTTGATGGACCTGGTACGTAATAATGTCGTCTCTTGTACATGACCAACCTGCGAGAGAAGAAGACCGTTAACATATCTGTAATACGATTCTTAAAAAAAAAATTATTCGGAAGTTCATAATTTATAATTTGCTGTAATTAACAATACTGTGAATCCTTCTATTTTACAACAAAATAATATAATATTGCAATACATTAGCATGTCTGCAATACGTTTCTTAAAGAAAAATTATTCGGAATTTATTTCGTAAATTATAATTTGCTATAATTAACAATATTCTATGAGCCCTTCTATTTTAATAACAAAATAATATAATATTGCAATGAATTGTAATCTTTCGTTCGCAATATTGTCCATCTACGTGCGCTGTTCCTTCTTTATAATTCTATGATCAGATTTTAATACTATTATAGTTAGTATAAGAAATTATAATAATCATAAAAGTTATAAATATATTAGAAATAACAAACAACATTTTTATGAAAACGTCATGCATAAATTCTCTTAAATAATTCCTTTAAAAAGTTATTAAATAACTAGATATTATCAGAATGTTGTATAACGTTGCGTATGTTATAATTTTTTTTTTGCAGAAAACTTAAATTTTTTCTTCAATCTCCTTTTCAAGAAAAAAAAAACTGTATAATTTGTCGAAAATACAGGAAAAATTTTTCTTTATTTAAGGATGTTAAAAATATTATTTTTCAAATACAGATTCTTTCAGAAAAGAGTGTCGCCAAGTTTTCATAAAATTAAATAATTTTGTTTCTTTTTCACAAAAACGATCTCATTTTAACAATTTTATCAAAAAATGTTTACGGTTTTTCTTCCTCACTTAGTGTATCAATAAATTAAGTATTCTTCCACTCTCGAAAATACTTTCTTTGTACAAATCTATCTTCGCGTCTTTATCAACGGCACAAATAGCTCAGCGCGGGATTACCATGTTATATCAAACAATCGCAGGTCAGTCCTTGAGCGCGATTTAATGTCGACAGGAATTCACGCAAAAAGTCTGAATGGCAAATGCAGCCTACCAATCACGCCTACATCACGTGTATATTCACCGACGGCCATTCGTTTCCTCCTCTTTCTCTAAACCACTACGTGTGCTGGTGCTGGTAATTGTATCGATACCTTCACAGGAATACTGATGGCTACAGCTAGTAGCTTCATAACACCTATCGCGATAATGTCGTAGATATCGCAACTACGTGTTTTTCGCATGGTAATGCATCTAGAGAATCTAAAATATGTTCTAGGCAAAAAATATTTTGTGGGTATTCAAAACTTCTTCTCTGTTAAACATTCGATCCGAGATACAGTTAATTTCACCTAAAATCTAAACAAGTTTAGAAATTGTTCGGGATCGACATATTTATTTGGATATTCAGACTAATAAATAAAAAAATCAACAGCGAGATTCGCACAAGAATGCCGTATTTTGAGATAATCTTTCAATTTCTTTTCCTGGGTGAAATTAGGTTCTTTTCTAATCCAAAAAACCTTAACTTCATAGAGGTTTGAGTACTATTAGATATCTCATTACATTTAGATATAAACTTTTCTTCTTCGGATTAAATTTTATTTAGAGAATACTTTTAAAAACTTCAAGATATTCTTTGCCTCTTAATACATATACTTTGGATCACCCTGTATAACATTACGGCTCGATTATTATCTACGTAATTACTATTGACTGAGCACCATCAAAGGTGGCTTATTGTGCGTGAAAACTTCCACTTGCGTAGCACAGTGGAATGATAATTATTGCTACAACAAAAGATTCTCGATCGCCATCTACTGAAAGAAACATCCTTGCAAACTGACATTCCTTTTTTATATAAATGTCAAAAAAATGTATACCTATCCGTTTTAATTATACATAAGAACAAATATACATATCTTAGCACATGTATATCACTACGTTTAATTTCTATCATTAACTGGTTTATAAATACTGGTTTATGAATTCATCTCGTGAATGCAATTCCTTTACAAATGACTCTTGACAAATCCGGTTGCAGATTAAATGTAGACTTACCAAATAGAACGAAGGAGCGTGTTTATCCGATTTAGTTTCGATGACGTATCTGGAATGTCTTATTTTTCTCAAATATTTTACGGATATTACGAAAGTAACGTAAATGGCAGCATGCAACATTTGATGTAGGATAGGTTATTATAAATGTTTGATTTATTTATTTTATAAAGTTATCGTACAAGGAGATGGACTTGGATGCAGGAAGCATGCGTAACACATTACTCGCGTTCATACAAATAGATTATGGAAAGAAAAAAAGAAATGGTACTCATCTAAAAATAATTGTCTTTGCCCAGTATTGTAATTATAAAAATAGCTCGTGCAAACATTTTTTATGGCAAGACAAACGCGATAGTTTGATATATACTCACTCATGCATTATTAAATATCATCTTTGTCAAAATAAAAGTCCTAAAAGAAGTCGATATTTTTTTCTCTGAAATAAAACATACAAAATAATCGGAGGGTTCATTATAGTGCCGTTCGTACGCTATCTAATATCTTTACAAATAAATAACTTGCGAAACTGTGCCAATAATTAAATAATTAAATATAAAATAATGGTATTACTTTTTTATATTAGATCCTCATATTTCAAATAAACTTTTAAATAGCATATAATAAATCTCTCCTTTTTTAATAAAAATATGTTTCTTCAATTTTCTACATATACATATATATTTTATGTTTTTTTAGAATCTACTCAATAAATTCGTCGAATATGTAAATATAACAATATTTGCGAGATCATAGCTTTAATATTTCGCCAAATATATATATAAAGCTCATACAAATTTAGTACAAAAGAGAATGATCGTCGCAAGGATGGACGAGAGATATAAAATACAGAGGCGGCATTTCGTGAATCAAAAGTGAACTATCTGTTATCATTGTGGACTATCAAACATCGATAAATCGTCCATTATCCCGCATCTTCTGCAGCTTCAACTTTAACTTTGTATTATCCGCCTGTTCTAGATCCAAGTTACATAAATAGGCACCCTTCGAATATTGACGAAGATTAGAGAAGTAATTTTGGCGACGCCCAACCTTCACAATGTCGCCATTGCGACTTATAAAAATAAAATAGTTAGGCGCCGTATACATAACTGACTAGATGAGTCCACTCTTTTCTGAGAAAAGAAAGAGAAAGAGAGTGGAATCTTTCCCGTTAAATTTTTTATTTGTAACTAGTCCTATCAAACTATTTCCTTAATCTTTTCATTTTGCATCTTTTATATTCTTCCTCTTTTCTTCTGAGGAATCTTACGCCGACCTTCTCCGAAATATCTTGGAGATGTCGATTTTTTTCATTTGTTTCATAGATATGCGTATATAATAATTTATCTATCCTAATAATACTAGTACAATAGGATATCAATAGCTAATCTCAAAATAAAATAATATACATCGGTTTATATATATAGGTATATCATAGACTAAAATTGAGATATCGCCTGCGGTATTTCCAAAGTTTTAGATCTAAAGTTAAAGAATAAATTCCTGCAATAGAAGGATGATAGAACGTAATTCGACCAGCGAAATAGTTCGTTAAATGATCACAGAATATACCTCGTAACAGCGCACGTCTGATGAAACGATTAAGTAATAGACGATTGTCTAGCGATAATAGATCCTGTCTACCTTATCCATCAGCGAGAAGGGCCACAACATTCCTATAAATAATATAACATAATTCCAACTAAGAAGGTACATGTTTGTAGATTGTTTAGTCATACTGGCGATATAATTTTAATATAATCTCAGAAAAAATCGATATTTTGCACTATAAATACTTTTGTAAAATTTATCATAAATCACACGGAATGTAAAGCGTAGAATGATAGATAGTATCGTGACAGAATAATATCATAATAAATTTGTGAATAATTGATAAGTATGATAACAATAATATATCGCGAGTAAGACAATAAAGATTCATGTTCCTTCTAAAGCGATATTTAAATGCAAAATACTATCGATAATGTATGAAATATATCCTGTGGCTTATAGATTATTCTTTGGAAGCGTGTGTGGCAAGAAAATAAAAATAACACCCGTTCGAGGCCCCCCTCGCATACTCGGAATGTCTTACAATAATATAAGAAAAACAGTGCCCGCACTTGCTTTTATTTGGTCCTTTTACCCATTATGCTCTCTTCATTGATCGTCCGATTAAATTATATAAAATTGAACGAGCGAAGAAGAAGAGCAAAAATACTTAGATGGATTTTGTTTTCTTCGAGACTGAAAGTATCTACTACCACTACTGATCGATACGTATCGATCTTTCTAATGTATTTTTTCGCGAATTTATACTAGTTGATTTAGGTGACGTGAATATCTGAAACAGAAAAAGCAAAACAAAACATTTTGTTTAATTCGTATGTATTACTAATTAATCGATGGAAAAGATTGTAGATGAGTATATGACTTTATAATTTTTTTATAAAAAAATTATCTCATTAATTATATTATAAATTTCAAATATAAAAATATATAAAATGTGTCTAAATGTGTGTGTGTGTGTGTGTGTGTGTGTGTGTGTGTGTGTGTGTGTGTGTGTGTGTGTGTATTTATTCCTTTGTAACATGAAAATATTTTTTAATTTTCTCGCTTGACACTCACCTCACCCTATAAATCCTGCTGCTAACGATATTATGAGAGCTAAAATCCCGGTCAGCATTTGACCAGCTGTCGAAACAACTGGCGGTGGTGCCGCATTCTCGACCACGGCGTTTGACATGAAGTAATCCTCCGCGGTCAACCTGTCACCATACTTATCCAGCAATACCATAACGACTCCATTTGACCAGCCGAAACCAAGTTGTACTTCGTACTCACCTCCACTACCGTGACCACCCGAGACGATCGCGTCGTACTGCAAACAGAATTCAATTTTTCCTATTTTATTTCCTCCCAGAACTGCACAAACAACAATCCCGCGGACTAGCTCAGAAAAAATCTTTAAGAATTAATTAAGTTCTTAATATTCGTCGTGTAAATTTTATTTCTTCAGACAACAGCGACATTAATTCTTTTTACTCTTGTTCTCAAAATTGTGGTGCACACGAATATATTCTTATAATTATTCGAATATGTTCTTCGGAATACCTTGAATTACCTTTTCATACATGCAATGTGTCTCGTTGAAAGCCTTGTAATTGCTACGGACCCATCTCTGGCTAACCTCGTAAGCCAATCTCTGTGCCCATGGGTCGCCCGTGTTGTTCAACGACATGATGAAGAAATACTGGAGAGGAGGCCAGGCATTGGGATAATCCCATTGTTCGCCAGAGTGTTCCAATGTCGTCGGTATGCCGCCGTGATTCAACATAATTTGATTCTTTTCAAGATATTTGAGCACCTTCGGCACATATTCGGCTCTCTTCGAAGTGTCGTAACAGTCTGTCCAGAGCGGCAAAATGTTGGTCGGATAGAAGTAGTCCCGCTTAATATCATTTAGAATATCGTAATCCAACCAAACACCCACTTCTTCGTGCCACAACAATACCCTGATCGCTTCTTTCCATTTCTTGGCCACGTCATCGTAATACGCGGCCTTCGTTTCGTTACCCATTTGACGATTGTACTGCGCCAGCAGTACAGCATTTCGGTATATTATGGCATTCAGATCGACCGGGATTATGTATCTGGTCTTGAGATTTGTCAGATTACCTAGAATTAGTGTCGCTATCAACCTTCCAGTTCCCTCCAAGTCGCTCTTACGAGCTCTCGTTATATCGAAGCATAATTCATAAATAAAAAAATTATAATGACAATTTTTAAATGGCGATTTCAATTTCATTAAGATGAAATTGAGCAAGATGAAGCGATTTAAACATTACAGAAACAGTAGTGGCACGGTCTAACGATCTCAATTGTAATATACGCTTTTGCGAGAATGGATTTTAGAGTACCGATGCTTCAAACAATGCTTTCACTTAAGAAACGAGATGGAAGCCTTGAAGTGCACGCAGATCTCATTGAAGATACGTTTAATGTAGAATAGCACTATAATTGTTGAATAACGTTGCGTGAGAATGTATATGTAATACATCATTACATATAGCTTTGGTTCGATTCATTAAAAAAAATTATGACCAACGATTAAGATTGACTATTAGCTTCTTTTAATATCTCTATTTCAAACGAATATCGCGAATAATTAATAGAAAACCTGCGCGAATAAAAAATTATTCAGTTGCGGAACATTTTAAATATATGCAGTTTCTTTTTACACGAATATACAAACGTTATTAACTTTCGTTATTAACTTTTCTTGTTAACAAATATCACTCTTATAAACTTATGATTAGTGTGATACATCATTTTCTGTCATCTTTACGACAATAAGGCGTTCATCATACCAGTCATCAAAGCTATTTTAATCGTACTCGCGAACACGCATGTAATATTATTGCGTCCAACCTCGCTCACCCATAAAGACTTGTATTTTCATCGCGCGGGAAGCAATTAAATAATGATAATTACCCTTGTTGGTACCCTCGTGTACGAACCATCGACTGGAAAAATCCCATCCGGACTCAGCTGCCGTTTTTAATTCTGCATAATAATTGTCCTTCTCTTCGGTGGTTCGAAAAATTTGGCTTGTCAGATAGTCCTCCCTGATCATTCAATTGCGAGATTAGAAAATCAAAAGTCGAAATTAATGTTAAAAAATGAAGATAGCATCACTAATTATTAATATACATATAAAAATTAATGCTCACGACTCGATATCATCAAAAATAATATCCCCGTGTTCAATTTATTTGTTTCAATTCTGGATCATCTAGTTTCTCTCGTCGGAAATCGTCGCATCGTCATAGTATTTTTTATTATTAAAGTCGCGCTACTCACTTATAGGATTCCGGTCGAGGACCCGATGATTCCTCGTAGTATCTAGCGAGCGTATAGTTGATCCCGTCCTTTTCAATATCCACGGTCCGATTGGTCATCCAGAAGTCAAATTCTTTCTCCAATAACCAGAGATTCTCCTTCAACCAAGCTTCGTCGTGGACTGTCTTCAGATACTCGTCCACCATGGATATCAATAGCGGCGGATGCGAACGCATCTTGTAGTAGACTCTACCGCCGTTCGGTATAAAACCAATCTTATCCACTATCGAGACAAAATTATTCAGCATGCCCTTAACGGTGGTATACATCTCGGACAGCAGCAGGCCCTTGATGATCCAGTACGAGTCCCAATAGTAGAACTCGCGGAATCGTCCGCCGGGCACGATTACCGGATTCGGCACGTAGATGATCGAGTAGAGGTCCTCATTGATCTTCACGTCATCCCGCATTTTTCTGCCCAGTAGCTTCCAAATGTGATTGAGATCGGAGCCGAACTTCCGTAGCTCGTCGTCCTCGATGTTCTGTAGGAACTTGGGTGTGGCCGTCCAGTCGGACGGATCCCAGTCTTCGAACTCGTAACCGGGCATCTCGAACGTATCGTTGACGAATTTTTCCACCTGGTGCTTGTTCGGCGTATTGTTCACGCTCCGCATGAACGCCCGGAACGACGCCAGCGTCTCGTTCGCCGGCTGTTTCATTTTCATGTCGACAAAGTACTTGGAATCCTTGTATATACCAGCCATCTGTATCGTGTGCAGCAGCTCGCCGTGGCAGTATATCTCACTGGAAAGGCACGATACATGGCTACTCGACGAACACGAGACTCTCGATCGTATGCGATTGGTCGCAACGGTGAGCTCTCTTCTCTCTCTCTCTCTCTCTCTCTCTCTCTCTCTCTCTCTCTCACCGGGACCGATCGCGGGAGATCCACCGGTTACGTGGATGAGATCGATCAAATAGGATGAACTTTGCACCAAAGTAAAAAGAAAGGACAAACGTATCTAAAGAGATAACAAACGGAATTGCTAATTTATGCAGATTATAAAGATCTATCTAATAACAACACGATAACTAAGAATCTTGATGAGGGATCGTACTTAATATCCGAGGATTAATATTCCCGTTATTTACTAATTTCTTGGGTACGATAATATTTATTAGATCTCTTTTTTACGATAATGCAAAGCCAACTCGAGAAAACTCTAACTTAAGATTCGGAACTATGGCATAGTAAGTTTACGTGGCACGCTTTATAACTATTCGCGATTTTCGCGGTTGGATCGACATCTGGACCAATGTCTCGCGGACCTCCAGCCAAACTGGAGATACTTCAGAATGCGCAATCTTTAATAAGAATAAAGGAAGTTGTAGCCTTTGACTGTAAGAGTAAAGCAGTTATAACTTCTAGTTGTAAAACAGTATTATCTATTAGCCAATCATTTATCCTCATAAACAATAATGATACGTCGATAAAATAGCAGCAAGCAACATATATAAAGAATTACACGCCTGCTTAACAGTAGCAAAATTCCAATCCTGCAATTACGTCTTTTATTTTTTCTTATAAACTGTGAATTGTAAGTATCCTGATTCACTTCCGGGTACACCTTTAGCTAGACCGAAGTAGGATTAGATCAGAGCTCATAAAAAGAACGTATTCATTCGGACAAACGCCTATTCATATAGCAACAGTTATTAAATCCCATAAAAATGAAAATTATCCCAGCTTTACATTATTACAAGTCATGAGCGTAAAAACGAGCGTAAAAAGAGTTTTAAAGTTTCATGAAATTTCTTTATATCAAGATGACTCGTTAAAAAAAGACCACTGTTACCCAACGCCAACGAAAATAATATGACGAAAATAATATGCATTTGGACGTACGAACTTCTTTTCGTTTCCGTTTCTTCTCTCTCGTGTGGATTATTTTTCGACTAATCACGCACGCGCAAAGTGTGATATCGCGGATTCGCGAACACGTAGATCGCCCCCCCGGCTACCGATACGTGCGAAATCGCGCGACTTTTGCTTTTCTCGGCGGCCTTGATCGAGCGAGATCCCCGTATGCACGTGTTCGCACGCGTCCCACAGCTAGGACTGCAATCGATCGTGTATCTGCGCGATATGGAAGAGACCATATTCGCGTGGCGTGACGGAATGTGCGAGGAGACTGCGATTAGCCTCGCGAAATGTGCCAAACACTTCATTATCATTATCATCACTAATACGCGCGTCTTACAGCGTCTCGTTCGCTTCGCAAATATGCGATGGATAATGATTTTTCCCGCTCGCTAAAAACCGACCTGATCTCCACGCGTCTTCTTATTATGTGCTAACGAGATTACCGCGAGAAACCGCGGCAGAAATGTGCAAATTTTCGCGAAGTCTCCGATCTGATTATTAGTCCGCGATTTCGCGCCGGCACGATTCTTTTTACGGAAATATAAATTATCCGCGTGGAATAATTGCACGGACAATTTTCTAATTCAGTATTTTCTAATAATCCGGATAATTCGAATATATATTTCTTTAAAAAAATGTCTATTTTTGTTACTGTTTTTGTTCAAGTAAACTGTTTTTAAAATGTTATTTAAAGGGTTTTTTTCTGTCAATTTATTTGCTATTATCAGACTATCTATTCAGACTATCTATTAATATATTCTCAAATGAATGGAAATTATGTCGTGGGAATGATAACACATTTTAGCATTTGCGTCATTCACTAATATCTATGATAATTTTGTTCAAGTACATACGTTCGTACGCTAACCGTGGTCATTCAATTTTCAATATTTTCACCGTTTCCACTATTGTCATTTCTATCGTAAGATTAAAGATAAATTCCATGTATAATAAATGTCTGCGATTATGTTTGATATTGCTCGAATTATCCTCGGTTTCAATCACAGCTCATTACAATTTAATTTAAACACATAGATAAGTTTCTACTTTTTTATTTTATATAATCGATCTCGATATGGATTATTAGTACAATTTTTTATTTTTTCGTCTATGAATCTGCGATTATGTTCAATATTGCTAATTATCACTGACTTTTATGCGACAACGTAATTTAAATACATAACTAAGTTTCTTTCAAACAATCGATATGGATTGATATTATTCTTCATATCCGTTATGTGTACAAAAAATCTCGTGAAAAATAACGATAGAAGTTATCGCGAACAGACGCGAAAAGCTGTGTCAAATGCCTGGCGGACCGTTCGACGCCAGCAACGGATCGTTTTAATTGCAGGTTAATTTAATTACGCGACTAAATGTGATTTCAAATATTGCATCATGCAACAAAAGAATTGTACGTCTGCATCTACATGCTATTACTTTGTTTGCAATAGAAATTATTCTGCATTTGATACTATACACATGCACTTTCATTGGCAGTCGGATAAATATTTGTTTATGTATAAGCGAATGCCTCGGAACTAAGTTTCACGTCAAATTCGGTGCGCATCTTAGACTGAGATATCATGCGAGCCAAGAAGTGGCCTGATCGCGCCACTTTATTAAGACGTCATTCGAAAGATCTCCGGAAGAATCAATTTACTTCGCTCTGAGCGCATTCGGCCTCTCGTATCCCTTATGCATCATCGTCATATATCCTACATTCGCTTTCGTCATGCCACGATTAAAGATGAGACACGCGCCGACTTGGGAAAACAAAAGATATTTCGACAAAGATCAGCAGTTCGTCATTGTCGCACTCATGAAATGTGCGCCCATTACCGGATATACTCGGTGCATGTTATCTCGCCGACGTGATTTGGATCTCGCCACGGATCTGTCTATGTCGCGACACGCTTATACCTCACAAACATGTTTGCATCATGTGATGCGCGAGGTGTATGAAAACACCTTGTCTTCTTGGAAAACATTACCGAATTTCATATATCCGCGAATTCGTAGGTAATTCCACACCGGAACCTATCATCATCCACAAATTACGACATCGTGATCCTTGAGCACTTTAGGAAGAGAGTTATTATTGTTTTTTTTTT